ATTGAGTAATCAATAGGTTAGAGATCTTATAACTTACTCTTTGATGCACTTCAATAATAAGTATTATAAAAATGACATTTTGTTTTTCATACGAAATATGTTATCTTATATTTATTTGAAAGATGATATAATTATTTATAGTTTTATTTATACCAATGTTTGTTATATACTCTTATTAAGTTAATTGTAAATTTAATTATAAAATATAATTATAATAATAACAAATGTCGTGGTCATAATTTATTTATTTAATCTCAATAATATAATGTAAAATATTTATTGGATTTGTTTTTTCTTTATTCTGTTGCTAAACATCCGTACATTTATTATATGTGTTTTATAGACACAACAAATACACTGCAATTCAATACAATTTAGACATATATTATATTGAATATAAAAGACAAATTCTGATTACATTAAACATACAATAAAACAGCAATATTTGCGGATAATTACAAAATTAATACTAAAAGCAATACTTTCTTGTCATATAAGATAAGGATTGTGTTTCAAACGACGGTTGGATTTAAGGCTATTATTTATTTAATAATAAAATATTTATTCAATGGCTTTTTATGTAATGGAAATTTAATGCCATGACCTAAAGTAAAATCAGTTTATTATAAGCTCTGATGTTGAATACATTACAGTAGATATGCATTGATCGCAATATCATCAATATTTATGCCTAAAGTATACCAAAAGTTGTATTTTATCATGGTGTAATTTCATCATGGTCAATCGCAATACTAAAGTTTTTCAATTTAATTTTACAGAATATTCTTTCAAACATTTATAAATAACTTAATACCAAATGTTTTGCCGTTTTTTTGAAAATATGAAATTTAATATAAAAATAACTTTTAACATAATATTGGATAAAAAGTTTCACTTCTGGTCTCTCTCTTGAAATAATTTTCTATGACATGAATTTCAGAAATGTATTTCTCAATAATGATTACAAATTTTATTTTTGATTATTTCAAAGTCCTCTCACGAGATGTGCCCATAAATGCCAGCAACAGTTGTTGCCATAAATTGCTTTTTGATGTGATAATCATGTAATCAATGAAAAAATAACTATTTTTCGATCTATGTTTGTAAATATCAATTCGAAAAGCTTTTGCAAAATATATGCACAAAATGTTGTTTATACTAAACAAAGCACTAAAGAATATTCCGTAAAAACGACTTATGATAACAAACAAAAAATGTATTGCAAGTGAATGAAAAGATATTGCGTTTCCTATTGAAAGATCAATGAAAGGCTTTTGCTTCCAGACCTGGATATTTAATGAGAGCATTGAAAGCGAGTGGGAATTACTAGAAATCAAATGCAATGAAATTGAGTTTAGTATAAGAAAAACAAATTAATATTTTTCGGGCATTTGTATGAAATTTGAGGCCATATATTCTCTATTCAATTAGTTGGACGATATGTCTACTAATTTGATAATTAATTTTGATTTATTGCTGTATTTCTTCATTTGATTAGCGAATTAATATTTACGAAAAATTTATGTTTGGTTTTGACAAATGGTTTATGGCTTAAGCTAATACTGACCAGCAATAGAAAACAACACATGATTTTCTGTGCATTATAAACAATAAATATAATTTAGTTGCAGTTATAAAACTACTATGTATTTTCATATGTAGTACAATTAATCCGAAATTGTTGGATCATTTATTTGTAAACTAAATATTCAAAATCTATAATAAAATAGTTTTATAACTGTCATAGTTTTATAGTCAAAGTCTGATTATAACCAAATACATTGACTGTATTTTTATTTGTCTATAAGTTTATACTTTTGTTGTCCCTTTTGGTCTCTTATTGACACTTTTTATATATAATGTGTCTTTCTTTTACAAATGCAGCAAATATTCACTTATATATAGATATGTGAAAAAATCTCAAATAGCTAAACAAAGTTTACACTAAATTCTCAATGGATTTTAGTATTATATTTTTGTGACAATTTATTTGCTAACATTTTCAGACAAATTCTTGTTTAAACATTTCCATTGCAATTATAATAGAGTTTATTGAAAGTTATTTTGTGTTTCTTATAAATTTAAACTACCACTTTTAGCTATCATTAAAAACTTGTCGCAAATATCAAACAACATATTTAGTACATATGAAATAAAAGAGTATTTCAATGAATAATTACTAAGGTTACTATTATATTAGCTAATATAAAATTAACCGTAACAAATTTAAAATTTTAGTGCAAATATTACATTGTATTATTACTAGAAGATACATTAGTTCAAACATTCAACATTAATAATAAAATCAGATTTACAAACATGATCACTTTATGGATTGATAGGACAATGGTCAGTTGTACGTGCCCTGGATGGTCAGCATCTCAATGACAACAATGTCCGACGTATTCCTATCGTTATATCTTCTCTATTATTCTGTAAGTCATTAATCTTATAGTTTGTCAAAATATCGCTGATATTAATACCAATAATAATGTCAACAAAAACCCACCGATCGATCAAAAAAACGGAGATTCAGTGAATATAAATTGGTTTTAGATTTTTTTCATCATTTTTAAAAGTCATGCAAATATAAGAAAATTATGATTTCTTAGAAATATTATTTAAATTGAATTCCGGAATGAAAAGTGATATTTAAATTGGTTTTCAGGCGACAAATGAAAATTGCATTTTATGTAATATGCGATAACGATATGCTTTGCAATTTGGCCAACAAAATCATATAACTTAAGATGGGTTTAGCAAACAAATTAAAATATTATAATGTTTTATATGTTGGGCCCAGAAATAAGCATTAATTGCAAATTCAATACATCTATTGAAGTGCCATTAGAATGAATATTTGAGAGACATTTATATGAATAATAATAGGTCTCAATTAATCTTAACTCAAATGCATTTGACATATAAATGCATGGCTTATAATTAATGGATGAGAGGTTAGAGAATATCGATTATTATTATTATTTGTTGTATTTTATTTCAGGGGATAATTATAACATATTATCGTTAATTCGGTCCTAAATTGAAAATAAAATATTTCTTACAAATGACAAAACTATTATATGTCCACAAATTATAAGTTTTATGTATTTTTACAAACGGTAAGAGTAAGAGACAATTGTCTAATATTTCTGCAAACTTTTTATGTAATTGTATCGATAATTGGTTTCTCTAATCAAATAGAAGTGATCATTACATTTGCCCCCAATATATCTGAATTAGATGAAAGAGAGAGAGAGAGAGAGAGAGAGAGAGAGAGAGAGATTTAATACAGGAATCAAATACTGACTTTCACTTCTTGTAAGCAGAGCTGATGTGAAAGGATTTTTAGAAAATTAGATTCAATTCAATAGAAATGCTTTACTATTTCGAGGAGAAGAGCCAGTAATCAGATTCATGGATGCATTTCTGTTTGAAAATTGTGTTAAAATAATGAATTCATGGATGAATTTGTATTAACAAACAAAACAGCGAATGAATTCACTATATCTTTCACACATTCAATCTTATAATACGAGTGTTTTGTATTTCACATATCGTTAGTTTGCATTAGTTTTAATAATACACGCAATTGTGAGCACCAAATACTGTATTAAATTTTGTTAAATCAATTCACAGTAACTGAGAGATAGAAACCAATAGTTAAAACAAAGATAACAAAATGTGAATAAAATTTAAAAATAATAGTAATACATTCAATGATGATTGTTATTATCTATTATTTTTATATTTGTTTTAATTCAATTGTTAAAAGTTTATTTAAATTATGTAATTCTCTAAAATAAAATAAAATTTATAATTTCAGAGATTATTAAAATGGGATATTCATAGCAAAAATAACAATACAATACATTAGATAACTTTAAAATAAAATAAAATTTGTAATTCATTCAAAAAGTGATTTATTAAAACATTAATATAATAAAATTGTGTAGACGTCGAGAATAATATGCATAGAATATGATAAATGCATTCAAAATTATTTTAAAACATTCATAAATTAATTACATAAAAGCATTTTCATTCAAAACCCGGCGAAACAAAACGAAATAAAAGTTAAATAAAATTCAAAGCCGTGAATGAAAAGCAGAAAATGATTCCAAATACTGTATTAAATTTTGTTAAATCAATTCACAGTAACTGAGAGATAGAAACCAATAGTTAAAACAAAGATAACAAAATGTGAATAAAATTTAAAAATAATAGTAATACATTCAATGATGATTATTATTATCTATTATTTTATATTTGTTTTAATTCAATTGTTAAAAGTTTATTTAAATTATGTAATTTTCTAAAATAAAACAAAATTTATAATTTCAGACATTATTAAAATTAGATATTCATTGCAAAAATAACAATACAATACATTAGATAACTTTAAAATAAAATAAAATTTGTAATTCATTCAAAAAGTGATTTATTAAAACATTAATATAATAAAATTCTGTAGACGTCAAGAATAATATGCATAGAATATGATAAATGTTAAGTTTTAATAAAATTTTGTAAGTATTTAATTAATGTATTTTCGTAAAAGTAAGTTTTGGGCCGCTTTGTTTTGCTTTATTTTCAATTTATTTTAAGTTTCGGCACTTACTTTTCGTCTTTTACTAAAATGATATCAATTTATACGATATGTCAACAAAACACTGTTTACAAGCTATTCATGAGATGTCAGAAAGTGATGTCAAATTAGGAGAGCATTCAAAGACATTATCGTGAATGAAAAGCAGAAAATGATAAATGATATCAATTTATACGATATGTCAACAAAACACTGTTTACAAGCTATTCATGAGATGTCAGAAAGTGATGTCAAATTAGGAGAGCATTCAAAGACATTATTCGGACAACGGATCAGACAAATAGTGGCACTAAAATAGAGACCCAAATGATGAGCACAAACGACAATCTCTCCCATTATTTATTCATTTGTATAGAAATATAAAGTATACAAAAGTATTACTGTATTTACAGTTATATAAGTTTTGCTTTTAATAGAAAAATCCTTTTAAACATTTACACGAATTTGTTTTATTTCACATATTATTAACGTCGCTATCGATGTCTGTTCGGGTCTATCGCTGTCTGAAGAGTTTGGATCCATTCAAAGCTGTCATATATCTAATGGATTTCGCCATTTGTGGCATTAATGTAAGTTTTGTCTCACAAAAAGTGCTACAATTTGTTTGCATATAATTAACGTAAAAATATTCATTTATTATATTAATTATACGCTTAAGAGAAATGAGATACGAATACATAATAAAACTAATTTTTTGCACCAAAAAAATTAATTAATACTTTTTTTATTGTTGTCTTTCATTTCTCACACGACATGGAAAACAGATATTATGTTTTTTGTGTGTCTTTTCATACTATCGACAATGCAGTCGAGAAATGCTTCACTTAAAGTACTTGACACCACCGCACAATGTAAGTATACACGTATTTGCCCTCGATCAATATTTCTAATTACCCTGTGTTACCTTATTTTTATTAATCAATCACTTATTTCAGTCGACAATACTATAGGGCTATTAAAGTGACAAATATAAAGCAATTTATCACTAATTTCTTAAAACACTTTTTTCCCATTGATTTATGAGATATCTATTTAACATTTATTATTCTTTGCGATGAAATGAAAGTTTTACAAAATGATGTGTTTTATGTGCTGAAAACATGTACTTTTTAATTATGGTAAAATGTTTTCAGTTATATTTTTTATGTAGCGTAAGAAATGCTGTTTTGTTTTTAATATCATTTTTTAGGATTGAATTTAAGGATCAGATTTAGGAAAAAATATTTGAAATAACATAAAATTTCTATAAAATTTAGTTTCGCAACCATTAAATGCAAACTCAAATATAATGCCAAACAAATTACTGAAAGTAAATATTTTTCTCTCTCAAACTTTGTGGTATTTTTTTTTACAAATAGTGTTATTATAAATTTTAATGATTACTTTGTTGCGAAAATAATCGCAATTACAGTATTTATTTGAAATTATGTAATCCTAAACCAAATAATAGTTCTCTTAACACTTGATTTCTTGTATTATTAAATTATAATCAAGATTATTCACTATTTTCCCAAAAACCTCAGCAATAAATGTAAATTTGAAAATATAACCACATTTTGAATCAGTCGTGTTATGGAGTGAATAGACTTATGAATTAATAAATAATAAATAGGAAATACATTACCATTTATACTATTAACAAATCGGTTAATTATACTGTATACATAATTATTACATTGAACTACATTTATCTGTTGAGGGAATACTTCAGACCATATACTGTATAACCCATAGAAAGTAATCGATACTAAATTATAGTGAAATCATTAAATTTAAAGACTAATTGTATTTCTTAATCATTAAATTCATGAATATATTGACTGACAAAAGGCTCACAACAACTTCGAGGACCTGAAGAAATACGACGGCTCGTCAAAAATTAATGGCAATTCAGATATTGGCAAACGTAACAAGAATTTATCAATGGATCAGCATTTGGCACAAAAGTAAAAATGATTTTTTGTTGTACACAATAACTATTCAAAAATTGGATTTTTGATTAAAAATTTATTGATTTTTCTCTCTTTTTTTTGTGTAACAAAAATGTAATAGAAATTCACATTTCGTTGAATTGAGTACAATATCTGAAGATAACGAACAGATCTCGTCGGAGAAGAACACCACAATCCCGTGCTCACTACTGTAATTCGTGGACAAATAACGGTTAATACTGTGGCTAATGATATTATTTCGGCTCAATTGGTGTGTTAACTCTTATAACAGGCGGACACGGCTGTGGAGTAGGTGAGAGCAGTGTTCCATGGCGTCCATCAAATTAGATGATAATAATGCCAACGATTCCCATAAACAATGTGAAAGTGTTGTCTGAAACAAAGGCATAATATATTGTCCGCCTGTGCCGACACCTCATCCACTCTCGTCAGTTCCATGGCGTCCATCAAATTAGATGATAATAATGCCAACGATTCCCATAAACAATGTGAAAGTGTTGTCTGAAACAAAGGCATAACATTTAATGACATATACGAAGATTCTCTATATTACAACTAATTTATGTTTTTTATTTTGTAAAAGTTTTAACAATTTTTTAATTAATAAATACATACATGTATATGACATAAGAATACATGTATTATTTAAAATGCATTATATTTGATGACAATCTTTGACAGACTTTTATCTATTACTTTAATTGCAGTATTTGTAATTATTTTGACGTATAATCTGTTTTAAAAATTCAGTCTTAATCAACATTTTAAACACATTTAAACGTTTATTTTGTTTTATTGTAAACGAAATTTACAGACAAAACCTTTTACCGCAAAATTATATTTATGTGCATTAAAGTCAATAAATCAATCGTCAAGTAATTTATTTGCCTTTTTATTATACACATAATGTAATGAAATGAATGCAAATCATTTCAAACTGAATTATTCATTTGAAAACCATATTTGTAAAAATTGCTGTTATTGGAGAAGTCATAAAATTGATTATTTTTACAATTGTTTTCTTAAAAACCTTTAAGAATATAAATATAACTCAAAACAAGACATCAATTAAATTAAAAATACTATTCTGTAAAATGTTTTCCACAGTTATTGTGTTTGAATAATCAAACGTTACAATTATTATTACAATTAAAATAATCAAGAGCTAAATATTTAATTTATAAATTGTTTTTAGAGTTTCTTAAAATAACGTTAATGTAATAAAATCTAAATATAAATTTGTTTCTTGAGATTTGTATAAAACTTAAATATGAGAAAATAAAAATAGAATAAATTATTTTTATATAGGATTTCAATGATTTTAAGCAGGCCATTCCAAAATATGAATAGACTATGAATAGTGTATGTATAATGTATACAATTTTTTTATAAAATTTGCCTCAAACTGGCCTTTTGGAATCCGCTGATTTTAAGTGTACATAGGGAATTTGAATATTTTAATGTATAAAACACACACCCATCATTTTACTAAACATATGAACTAGTTAGGATTGAAATTCGTATACTTGAAATATTTAATTATTAAATAATTTTAGTGGAGTGCTATCTGGATTAATGGTTACCTAATTACCATAAAGCAATTTATATTTGTATTCACGATATATTGTATGTTAGTTTAATATGTTATTAATTAAGATTCATTAAGTGAATACACTTTGTTTTTAATGACACTTTTATTTTCATTAAATCTAAACGACAGTAAAAAAGCCATCACTTGAAGTGAATCTAAAGCTCTCGCTATTAATTAATTCAATACACAATTCACCGGCAATTTAATGGGTTAAGTATTGGACTACGAGTTTATATAATGTACAGAATATATACCGTATATCAATAATAAAGGGATTATATGCCTATCGGCTCACGTATGCCATTGAGAGCACACATACTATACTTTACATGTTTAGTGCATTCCGTCGTCCCATAACTCGTTATGATTTTATTATTGGTTAGAGTAATGAAAATCAACTCACGATAAAAAAAAGTCTGTTTTAATAAAAAGCATTTACTTGTAATCCTAGGGAAACATAATTACTGATTATATAATACATACGGTTTTTATAAATGTGTTGAATATATATTTTTCCGGATTTCTCTCATTAATTCTACTGATAAGGCGTATAACGATCACAAGACTAGATCTCGAAGAGAGAGAGAGAGAGAGAGAGAGAGAGAGAGAGA